CATCAATTCTCCTTCTATCCTCCTTAGTCACTGTCCAACTCTGATGCATAACAAGTGATAGCAAAGACCATGGCCTGTCCAGACGCACCTTAGTCTCCCGAGAGATACCATTGCTCTTTAGTACTTTGGAGAGATCCCTAACAGCAGACTTTCCCATGGCAATACGTCCTTTAATTTCCTGGCTACTGGTGCCGAGAATGTTGACTGTGGAGCCAAGCAAACTAAAGCTGTGAACAATCTCAATCTCTTCACCATCCATCCAGATGCTGCCAATTGGTCCAGTGGTAAAAGATCTTTGTCTTCTTATTCTCCCTAGTACGATAGCTCTTCTAAATCATTGTCATACAGCAGCCAAAATGAAATGATGACGAAATGAAGTGTAAAAGCACTAAAGATGCCACTTTTAATAATCTTACAATTCTAGTTAATTTGGGGGATCATTTAATAATTTCTGCATCATATAATTTCATGCACGCATTTTGGGGGACATATTTCAACCCAAGACACGGGACTACATGAAGGACATGTACAGTACTAGAATTGGGGAAGTCTCATTAACAAACTATGATGTGCAAACGAATAACTGCTGGCTAAAAATTCTTGACGTACTTGGTAATGAAGATCAAAAAGTCCTACCTTTATATAGATCACACCACAAAGATAACAAGGGCCAGTGAGTTTTTACTCCAGAACTCTTTCTCTGCTAGTTCACTTTGCTAAACATTCCTTTTCTATGTAAAAGCTGGAACACTTCAGAGGATATTTCATTTACATGTTGAGGATGTTCCTTATTTAAGAAGAAACATCTCTACAGTTTGGACTAATGTGTAAGATTTTGCCAACTCATACATTGGTCTGTAGATTTCAAATTTTGGTATGTTTACAACTCTCTGTTCTGTGACAGGAGGTTGCACCTGAAATAATCACTGTAATATGAGCCATTTAGTAAGTATCCAATGAATATTTATTGAATAAATTAATAAACAAATGAATAAGACTGCACGTCATAATGACAGTGACAATGTCCCCATATTCTAACTTTGAAAACTCTTTTGCTGGTCCATGTTTTTCTCAGATTCATAGTGAATGAATACATCAGAGTGATGTATTGTTTTCCACAAAGCTAATAATTTAAAGACCTGTTTTTATGAAAATATCTTCCTGTGGTTAAAATTATTTTTTTAAGAAAATGATAGGGGTCATCTTTGGTAGTTGTTGTGGTTAAATGTCACCAAGCACTTAGTGATGCTAAGAACAAAAGATCTGCACGTTGCCCTATCTTGCACCACCCTCACCATCTGCAATACACTCGAACCCAATGTTATAGTCACTGCATCAATCCATCTCAACCCATCACCTTTCCAAACATGATGTCCTTTTCCAAGGACGAGTACCCCCGTGACATGTCCAAAATATATGAAATGAAGTTTCACTGCTCTTGTCTCTAAGGAGAACTCTGGTTGCACTTTCTCCAAGATATACTTGTTTATTCTTTTTGTCAGTCCCTGGGATTTTCAGCATTCTTCTCCAACACCACAATTCAATTATTGATTCTTCTTCTGGCTTCCTTATTCATTCTTTCGCGTTCTTTGGTAGTTACTCCTATTCAATGGCCTTAATGTTAAGTGCTGTAGAATCGTCAGCAACTCATAGCGACCCTATGAACAAATGACCTGAACACTTATTTAACTTTCATCCTTTCTCCAGGTTCATAGGGTTTCTGGAGGCAAGCTATTGTGGAAGTGGACACCACTCTTGTTTCCAAGCTTCTTTTACTCGGGGAGCTCCACCAAACACTGTCCACAATGGGTGACCATTACCGCATTTGACACATCAGTGTCACAGTGTTCAGCTTCACAGCAACCACAAGTTACCTCTATACAGCAAGAGGACAGACCAGGGCTATACGACCTAGAAGAACGTTTGACCAAAAACAATTAAAAACTTCCAAAAATAAAGTTGCCAAGCCTATACGTGCTACCCAGTTTTCTTGAAAAATATTTTATTGGTTTGTGGAATTGTGGAGTTTAGTTTAAAATGCGGTTCAACTAGGAATAGCATATATTTAAAAAATGAATTTACATATTGAGTAAAAAAAGATACACTGCGAGTTTAAAATGGCCTTGATTTGCACTATAGCTCTAGAGGGTAGTGCATGCTCAATATTGGTCTGAGGATTTTGTTGTTCCTTTCCCCATTCTATTACTCACGCCTTTTCACAACTGCATTCACTCATTGCCCATCAGCACAACTGTCACTCACTGCTGAATGGACTCAAAGCTAACCCTCCAGAGGGTTTTCAAAAGCTGTAACTCACAAGAGGTAAAGATTACCAGTCTTTCTCCAGAGAGGCACTAAATATGGGTTAGCAGGAAAATTCCCCTAGAGAACTATATAACAGAACTCCTTATCAGTCCTACTAAGCAGGTACTATCATCCTCCACACTTTATAGATGAGAAACTGTAGGCACCAAGAATGTAAGTCCTTGCCCCCAACCACATAAATCTTAACCAGTAAATTGCCAAAGCAGGAATTCAAAGCAAAAACTCCTGTGTATATATTCTTACATTATAAAGGAATTGGACCATGTCAATACAATCAATAGGAAAAGCATTGGTTATTATATTCAATTGACTATGGAAATAGTTTTAATTAGCATATAAATTATAAACTCCTACCTATGACTCATATGCCAATTCTGAGCCTTTCCCAATCTTCCCTTATCATTCAAGTTCTTCATGACCTATATTTAGCCTCATTATTTTGCAATATTTGTAATTGTTTTGATTAGCAAGACTGAAAAACAAAAACAAGAAAATGTATTTCTGGTGTGACATGTCAACCAAGTTGGTGCTGTTTAGTTAATTTAGGGCACTTTAACGCTCTCTTATATCCTTGCCATCTAGAAATAACCAGTATCTAACCCTCCAGCAAGTTTTCACAGGCTCAAAATTGCCAGTGGTGGAGAAGGACGGTCTTTGCCCTGCGAGAGCTACCATATTAAACAACAACAAAAGCATATTTTATTTAATAACGTTTGGGGAACTCTGGAGGCATAATCCATAGCCAGCTTGGCTGCTGACCCAAAGGTTGAAGGTCTGAACCCTCCAAGGGTTTCTGGGGAGAAAGATGGGCAATCTCCTTCTTAGGACTTAACAGTTCCGGAAATCTGTTGGATTTCAGCTTTGAGCTGGTTCTGACTCCACTACAATGAGTTCGAGTTTTTAAATAAAGTTCTTTATTATAAAGGATTGAAATCTCAGTTCCCAAATGCTGGTACTCCTCTCAACAATAGTTTACTTGAAATGTGACAAAAAAGAGTAGGATTTAATCTACTCAAGAGTATGAAACCCAATTATTCTTTTAATTTTTATTTTATTATTGTGTGTGTGTGTGTGTGTGTACCGTCAAATCAGATCTGACTGGTACAGGAGGAGATTGTCCCTCCTTTTCCCGGCAGATCATCTGGTGGATTTGAACCGTGCACCTCTGGGATTGCAATTGGGCAAGTATATAAAATCAGGAAGTAAGATTCATTGTAAATGAAAAGGAAACCTCGAGTCACATTGTTTTCAGTGGTTTCATGTGCGTGCACACACGCAAGAACACCAAGTCAAAGTCTTAAATACAGCAAACTGAATTGAAACCACTCGTTTGGTTTTAAAAACTTACAGAATTGTTCGTAATGGTAAAAACCGACTGGAAGGTTCAAGATAGGTTTTTTGTCATTCTGTATTACCATCTACCAAATATTGCACTACATTAAAAGCTGTCACTTTATTCCAATAGAGAAAAAATAATCCAAACAGCTTTTAACAGCAATATCTTGGGTACTAGATATATGCCAGTGAATTATTTATACAAGAGGTGTTGAGGTTTTGGAAACGTATGCAACCTTTGTGCGTTAGCAGGTCCACCTGCATCTTATTAGACCTGAAGGCTGGAGTGTGCATATCCTGTCCCAAACCATATTAAGCATAGCGGACCTCGATTTCCGACAGGGCTTTCAACGTCCTGGCTTCCATCCAAGCACCCACCCCTACCTCATGCCCTAGAAAAACACAGGAACCAGTTCTAGGACGTCGCGACCCACGTCGCACACCAAGCTCCTCCCCGATACTGGCCTCGGGCCGCCGCTGCACAACAGCAGTCCGGCCGACACACAACAAACCCATTCCCGCTCCCGCTCCCCGCACTTCCGCCGCAAACCCCGCCCACGTGACCCGGCCCCAGCGTCCCGCCCCCCACGCTTCACCAATCAGCAACGTCCTGAGCGCGGAACCACGCCTCCTCGGCGCCTTCTCAGAGCGCGGCTCTGGGTATCTGCCCGAAGCTCCTCCCCTTTCCGCCTCCAGGCCACGCCCACTTCAGTCCTCGCCTCTCCGTTGCCCTCCTCCCCCCTCCGGCCGGCCACTCCCGCGCCCGAGCTTCAGCCCGCCCCCTGGCGCCGCGCGCCCGCCGTGGTCTCGCGAGATCTGACCCCCTGACGGCGCCCGCCCGCGTCCCCCTCCCGTCCTCCCACCCCCTCCCCCCAGCCTCTCCACTCTCCGGCTCTCCTCCCTCCTCCCTCCCCCTCCCCCCTCTGGGCCGGATCTCGTCTCGCTGAGGCGGAGGAGGAGAAGGAGGAGGAGGAGGACGTTCGGCCTGCGCAGTGAGATGTTTGTCCGTCGCCGCCGCCGCCGCCATC